GTGTCGAATAAATCTGTGTCAAATCGAGCGGTGTCGAATCGTACTGTGGTCACTAGAGTATCACCCGAAGAGCGAGAGGCAAGAGCTAACCGAAGAGGAAAAGAGACAGATACTATACGAGTATCATGATTCACCGGTGGGCGCACACCAAGGAATAGCACGTACAATAAAAAGAATAAGAATGAGGTACGACTGGCCTAAGCTGACAAGCGATGTGGAAAATTATATTTCGAAATGCAAATCTTGCCAAAAGAATAAGTTGTCGCAGAAAATAAAAGTACTGCTAGTAATTACGGATACGCCGAGAAAGCTTTTCGAAAAATGTGCGCTTGATATTGTCGGGCCGTTACCGTTGACAAGTAACGGAAATAAATATCTGCTGACGTTTGAAGACAATCTTATGAAGTTTAGTAAGGCGATACCCGTTCCAAATCAAGAAGCCGCTACGGTAACAAAGGAGTTCGCGACAAAAATTGTGTGTGAACACGGGATTCCGGAAACGATTTTAACGGATCGAGGAACAAACTTTATAAGCCAACTGTTTAAGAATGTTTGCAAGTTACTGCGAATAAATAAAGTACAGACAACGGCCTATCATCCGGAAAGTAACGGAGCGTTAGAGCGTTTGCATCGAACATTAGCCGAGTATATACGTCACTACGTGAACGAGGACCAGACGGATTGGGACGAGTGGGTGCCGTACGCAATGTTCGCGTACAATACGACACTACACACGGCAACAGGATTTACACCCTTCGAATTATATACGGGAGGTGCACGGAATTACCGACCGCCTTAACAAAACCACCGTCTACACAATACAATTTAGAAAACTACGCGCAAGAATTAAAAGAAAGATTGCGGGCGACAAATCGAGTAGCGCGAGAAAAGCTCAAAGAAGAAAAGAAAAAAGCAAAACGTTACTATGATAAAAAGACAAAGCAAGCAACGTTTAGCGTGGGAGAAAAAGTCTTACTTTATGACAAGACACTGAAAAAAGGCAGATCTAAGAAATTGGAATCAAAGTGGATAGGACTCTATGTGGTAGTTGCGAAAACGTCAGACGTGACGTATGCAGTCAAAGCAGGACGGCGCACGCAGAGTGTGCACGTGAATAGGCTAAAAGCCTTCATAGAAAGTTAAAAAAGTAAAAAAAAAACTCACCGGGTTGCCTCACTCATCGTCTGACAAAACGATGTTGGGGGTGGACAACGGGCGGCGGGGGCCCCAAACAGATGACGTCGTCCGAGTCGTCCGGGTTGACCTTGTCACCTGACACCCAGGTGGGTGTGTTACAAGAAGAAACAAGTACGGTTCTGAAGGAACAGGTGACGGAACAAGTGGATAACGGAGACAAAAACGAGGACGTAGACGCCGTGGAAGCAACAGCGGAAGACTCGCCGGAGTTTCAGTCACCGGAGTCCGCGTCTGTGTCAGAGGAGGAAGAGGTACCAAAGGGTAACCAGGAGGTTTAAACCAGGTTCAGTCAAGTTGGGTGTAAGTTTAAGTCACTAGTGTTAGCATAGACAGTAGGATAAGATAACAGTTATGTTGTACAGTGGTTACGGTAGTAAGTAAAATAAGGTAGAGTAAGTTAAAACAAAAGTGTAATAGTAATAAAAAATGGAAAAGTTTTGTTTTGGTGACCAGATTTAAAAGTAGTCTAGTTTGTCAGTAAAGTAAGGTTTTGTTTAGTGGTAGTAAGATACGCGACGGTTAAGTGTACAAAAAAGTGCCTCAGGTTTGGTTTTAAGTTTGTTTTATGTTTAGTTCTAAGTTCCATGCGTTATGAACACACATTAGACACACCACACACACGATAACACACATACAATCCTTAAGGGAAAAAACATACAAAACTCACACCACACATGCACACACAACACACACCCAAAGTTCCATGCGTTATGGACACACATTAGACACACCACACACACGATGACACACATATAATCCTTAAGGGGAAAAACATACAAAACTCACACCACACATGCACACACAACACACACCCAAAGTTTTATGCGTTATGGACACACATTAGACACACCACACACACGATGACACACATACAATCCTTAAGGGGAAAAACATACAAAACTCACACCACACATGCACACACAACACACACCCAAAGTACCATGCGTTATGGACACACATTAGACACATCACATACATAGGGACACGCATACAATCCTTAGGGGAAAAAACAAGTAGAATCCACATTACACATACACACACAACATACACACAAAGTACCATACGTTAAGGACATAGGTTAGACACACCACATATACAATAGACACACTTACACACGGTACTCACAACAAACATATGTCCTTAAGAACGCATACACACGCCACACACACACTAGCTACACATAAATTACTACACATACATACCCGGTCCTTAAGAGATGTGTTGGTACCTCACCCACACCTATACGACACATACATACACAGTGTGGTAATGCCAAACATATGCTTTTAAGAGCGCGTTCACACATTACATGTTTACACTTAACACCTACATCACATTCGTAAAAAAACCCGCCGTTAAGGGGACACTGTGTACACACAGGGTCTTGTGGAACGATTGAGCGGCGAAGGAGTGGGGGTGGCGAGCCTGCGCGGACAGGTCGAGCACCGACGGAGTTAGTTGTTCTCAGACTCTCGAAGCGTACAGATGTCGCGTATCTGTAAAAAGTAAAAAAGGAAGTACTAGCGAACGTTTAGTTGGAAAACTCGTGTACAGTTTTGTATTTCTAAAGTGAAAAATATATAATCATAAATAACAGTAAATCAGTAGTGTATTATTCTGTTGTGGATCTCCTACCTAACATATCCCGTTTTGAGCACGCCTGGTAAGACGTGGGGAAAAGTGAGGAGTCACAGGAGGGGAGTTCAAACAAAGGAAGAACCAGCGACCTTGGTGTTTGGCGGTCCGGAATATAAAAAACACCTGGCGACCGTGGCAGTTAGCCACAATATCGTAAGTACTCGACCATTGTCAGTCTAACCCCGGTCACAACCTAACTTCCGGGTCAGGGAAGGCAGGCGGCGAAGGCCGCGAGCACAGGAAAACTACCTCTGGGGAACCCGGTGGTGACGGCGGCGGGCCCTCGGGGGTGTGGGGCGTCACAGGGCGCGAGGAACCGGAGCTCTCGGAGCTCTCAGAACTAAACGAGGTTGTGGATCCTCCCAAGCTGTCGTTTGACAACTCCACCGCACTATCGTCAGTGCACGAGGAATACACAACTTTGGACATTCTACGAGCACTAAAACAAAGTGGTGTCGTTAAAAAAAAAGAAGACACACTCGTAGGATCTGAAACCAAACACTTACACTGTTTAATACAAAGTGAAAAAGCACAATCACACACTGGGGAACCGTGGTGATCTGGTCGGTAACAAACGGGGTACTGGTGCTTGTTGACATAAAGAGCCATGGTCCGAAGTGCAAAAGACAGCAGGGCGTCTCAAATGTAATTCCTAGAATTAATATAAGCGATAATAAAAAGAGCTGAGATGACAGAGTAACAAACTCGGAGTACGACAGACGCTCGCGGTTCCACCTGTTAGGCGACACCATTCGCGATAAAAATAAAGTATAATGTATAAAGGCGTATTGAATAAAACATTTTGCTTGCAGGAAAATGTTGTTAGTAAAAGTAGTAACAGTACTTACTTTTTGCGTCGCGTGGAAAGAAGCCGGGGACCAAGGATATCACATACGTAAGTTTCAACGGGCGTGTTCCGTTTGACCACAGTACGATTCGACACCG